TGAGTGTGAGTGTGTTGATTGCTTCTTCTGGGTGAGACCCAGAAGAGGAATTGATAGAGGATGAACGAGAAGGGAGCCCTCTACCTGCTGGTGAGAGCACCAAGGGAAGGGTGCCTGTGAACGCTAGTGTGTGTGAGTGTGTTGTAGTAAAGCGGGGAGGTGGTTGCTGGGTACCTTGATGGCGCTGAGAGCTGGTGAAGCTAAAGTACTTTGAGGTGCCCGGCTTCCCCTCCCAGGGATGGCTGGTGAGGAAAGTGGGAGGTTCCCGGTCTTGGGAATTGAGGGCCTGGATATGGGGATGGGGCTGCCATTGTGGGAATGGAGGCCGGCCAAGGTATTATGCTGGCAATGGGCATGGTGGGAGACAAGGAGCAGGCCATTCTCGGGGAATGCGGGACCATTGTTTTATACCAATCTTGCGTTCCAGCTCCTCAGTCTCCGCCCCAGTACCCTGTTAGTAGACCTTCAGAGGCCCTGGCTTTTGGCTGCTGCTTTTGAATGCTGGGTTGGTCTGTAACAAGGCCTCCCTCATTAGTGATTTAATCATTAAGAAAAAGGGCCAACCTGGCATGTATCACTGAGACCTAGTTGGGTCCAGAAGGGGGGTGGTAGCCCTTTTGGAGATATGCCCAGCTGGGTTTTGAATGTGGCATCATCCAAGTTCCTGGGGCAGGGTTGGAGGTACGCCGATTGTCATATGAGAATTTCTTATGGCCTTGAGGGGTGCTGCACCACAGGTCACTGGATGTGAGACCCTGTTCATTTAGTTGGGCTCGAGGGAACAGTTGGGATTGCTGCTGTTGTACCAGCCTCCCTGCCACACAACAACCTCTCTGCCTGAGCCCCTTGACTCCATTTCTGGATTGGCAGTGGAATTCCCCAGACTTATGATTTTAGGGAACTTTAATCTGCCTTCTCTAGGAGTGGGGTCAGAGGTGGCTCAGGAGTTCATGGCCACTATGATGGCCATGGGCCTATCCCAGATCATCCAGAGCCTGACATGGGACAGTGGCCATACGCTGGATGTGGTGTTCCTGTCAGAGCAGTGGCTATGTGATCTGAAATTGGGGGAGCTTCTGGTATCCCTTTTCTCATAGTTAGATCATGCACTGATTACCATGGGATTCTTTAGCACCACTATCCACTACAGGGAGGCTGGACATATTAGGTTGGTCTACTCCCAGTGATTAATGGACCTGGGTGGGTTTCAAAGGGAGATGGGGGTTATTCCTGCTGGTTTGCTGCATGGTCCATCTGAAGCCTTGGTCGCCACTTGGAATAAGGGGCAGCTGAGGCTTTGGATCAGATTGTATCCATGCGATCTCTCCCCTCTCAGGGATCCTGGCACTCCCCAGGGTTTACGGAGGAGCTGAGGGAGTTGAAGTGAGAGAAGGGTTGTCTCGAGCATTGCTAACACTCAACAAGGGATGAACTCAGCTGAACAGCTGCCATTAAGGCCTACCTAGTGATGGTAAGGGCGGTGAAGCTTCATTACTTCTCTGCTCTTATTGTGCCTGCAGATAGCCTTTCCACGGCCCTGTTTTGGGTGACATGAGCCCTCCTGGGTAAGGGGGGCTCAGAGAACCTTTTGAAGGGGTGTGCAGAGGAATTTCCTCAGCACGTGAGAGGCAAAGTTGCTCAGATTCTTTCTCAGTTGGATGCTGGCCTTACTGCAGGTCTGGGGGAGATGCCTTGCCCTGTTGTCTGGGAATGGTTTGAACCTGTTGGACCTGAAAAAGTGGACAGGGTCCTTAGTGTTGTGACCTGTTCCTTAGATCCATGCCCCTCCTGGCTGGTTAAAGCAGCTTGGGGGGTGTCATGTGAGTGGATCCTAGCGATGGTTAATTCTTCCTTGAGTGAGGGGGTTGTTTCTTTGCTTCTTAAGGAGGCTTTGGTTTGCTCCTCCTCAAGAATCCATCATTGGACCCCACTGTACTGGACAATTTTCATCCAGTATCTAACCTTTGCTTTTTGGGGAAAGTGATTGGGTAGATGGTTGCATAGCAGCTTCAGAGGACCTTGGAAGAAGCGGATTATTTGGATCCCTTTCAACTGGGATTCAGCCCTGGGTATGGGATGGAAACAGCATTGGTCATGCTTTTGTATGATCTCTGGTGAGGGTGGGATGGGGGTTGTGCACCCGTCCTTGCCCTACTTGACCTCTCTGTGGCTTTTGATGCCATCAACCATGGTATCCTTTTGGATTGGCTCAGAAGATGGAGGGTGGGTGGCCCAGTGCTCTGCTAGTTCACCTCTTTTCTTCAGGGCTGATTCCAGTTGGTGGTAGTTGGGGAGGAGAAATCCTGCCCTTGGCCCCTACTATGTGGGGTGCCGCAGTGTTTGATGCTCTCCCCTTTCCTATTTAACATCTACATGAGGCCACTGGGTGAGCTCATCCATCGCCATGGGGTGAGATATCATCAGTACGCTGATGATACCCATTTATACAACTCTGCCCCTGGCAAATTAAGCAAAGCTGTCTTATCCTGGTGCCTGGAGGCTGTGAGGGTCTGGATGGGGAACAACAGGCTTCAGCTGAACCCTGGTAAGATGGAGTGGCTGTGGGTTTTGGGGCTTTCCGGTTCTAAACCTGTGCCACCTTTGGTGCTAGATGGGGTGGCACTGCCCCAGACAGACCCAGTGTGCAATCTGGGGGCAATCCTCCTGCACTCATGACCCCAGCTTGAAGAGCAGGTGGCAGTCATGGCTAGCAGGAACTTTGCACAGCTTTGTGTGGTGCGCCAGTTGCACACATTCCTGGATCGGGGGGCTCTGCTCATTTTCACTCATGCCCTAGTCACCTCCGTATTGGATTTCTGTAATGCGGTCTACATGAAGCTGCCCTTGAAGAGTATCTGGAAGCTTCAGTGGGTGTAAAATGCAGTGGCGTGGGCAGTTATGTGTGCCCCTAGAAGAGCATACATTATACCTCTGCTCTGTGAGCAGTAATTGCCCCCACCCATCCTGCTGCTCATCTGTCTCAAAACATCCATTTGGCCCTGCAATGAAATTGTCTTCAAGGTCACAGGGGCCTTTGATCACGTTCTCTAGTATATGTTACAAATCATTGAACAGTTATGAGGAAGAAGATGTCTCCACAAACAGCTGACAAGAGCTAATGATTTTTCAAAGAAATAAAAGAATATGGAGTGCACTAGTCTGAAAACAATGGGAACAGTGTGCATAACTGCATCGTTTCTCAGAGCAATAAGTTCTGGAAGGCAAGATGTTGCCTTGCAAAGGGAACAAGAGTGTTGATATGATATGTTTTTTCCTATAGTTTTCTAAATGAGCCATTGCAACATTTCTCGACAATCATGACAATAGTATGTGCGCTTTAGGAAGGATTTGGCCTAGGTGCCTTTGACCTTGGCAATCTCAAGGGCCTTCCAACCTTGCTGAATCAGAGATCAGCACCCACCAACCCAAAATTAGCCACAGGAAATAACAGTAGTCTCAGTCACAGAGTTGATGGAAGAATGGAAAGACCTTGAAGGAGAATCCATAATGAAACTACATGGTCACCTCACCTTTCCTCACCTCCCATTCTTACAAGATCTAAGTAGTGTTAGGACTTTCTTATCTCCCTGGCTGCCTTGAAGAATAAGTTTTATGGAGAAATGAGCAAATGAAACCCTTATTTTTTCCTCATGCCAAAACCTGCCAGGCAAATCATCTCTTCACAAAAGGTTGTCCCTCATTCTGACAACCTTTTCCCTGTACAAAAATTGAAAGACCATGTTTATTAACATAAAGGAGGGTAGTTTTTAAAGCATTGCAATACTTTCTAACAGTTTAGCATTTCATTCCATTCTAATGAAGAACAAAAAAATATAGTCATGAATTTATTTATTTATTTTCAATGACAGATGATAAGAACCATTGCTCTGTTTTCTCCTGATTCATTCAGCATAGTTGGAATGAGTCAGAATGCCAACCTCCAGACTGACACAAGGACAGATGGGCTTCTTTTATCGCTGAAGATCGGACTGACTGAAATGAGTTGAGGGTTCCTTGCATAGCCATTACATTCACCCCTCACAAGAAATCTCCTTGTGAACTGTCTAATTTCCATTCTAATAAAAGAACAAAAAATGTTGGGTACATATCACTTTTTTCATACAAAATAATAAAAAAGTGGAGCACCTGTTGTTTCCACTTCTGGAACTAAGCTGTCCCACTAACAGAATAACACAAGAGGAGTTTGAACAGCTGATGATCCAGTCATGAAACAGATCAACAATGTCTTGTACATCTTAACCATTTACCCTTGCTTTTTAACAGTTGACTGGAAGTATTTTATAGAATTATTGAGGGAAAGAGTGACACACAGGAGCAATTCAGACAGGGCTATGCAGGTAATTTCTGTTGAAATCACAACATGGCTGATTTATACAGGTTTACCAAAACGCTTCCATGAAGATCAATTGTTTTAACAGTTGTATTAAGTCAGGGCAGTGGTCAGTAAATTGTCAGTAAAATATGTACATTTTCACTGGCTATAGTTTTACAAGGACTAAGAAAGAAGTCTTTCTGTTCCCAGCTTCTGGTGCTGGTGATTAAACCTTCATGCAGTGATATATCAGTGTAATGTAGTATATTTCCTCCTAAAAAAAGAGAACTATAAGTCTTTTAAATTGAAATTTGGATCTATATTCCTGTACTATATTTTCATTTACATTCCTATAGCAGCCTAGAAAGAATTCTTAGGGCATGACAAAATCACTACATTTTTTAAATATGCGCTGAAGATATACATCAGGAGAACAAAGCCATCGTCCAGTTTAGCATCAGGACTGGGCACTGGAAGCAGATATAATCCAATTAACTCCAATATACAAGAATACATTTATATTGTATGTCTGCTGTTGATCAGCCCTTCTGTTTTGCATTTTGGTAATGAGTTGGATTATGGCTATTGATCCAAAAACTTCCTTCAAAGTCTTTCAAACACAAAACACGCTTACGATTGAATGTTTGCAAAGCTGCTCAACATTTATTAGGAAAGATATTTAAATGCATAGAAACCATAAATCTTTTTGCTGGTGTTTTGACTCCTGCCATGACTGTAAGTCATTCAAGTAGATGATTGTGGTTCTTCAAATTATCGGGAGCAGTCACGCCTAAAAGTTTGAAAGGTATTTGTTATTATTAGAAAATACATTAATACTATGCAAACATCCCATTCTTTTTTCCTTTGTTGAAATGTTATTTTAAGATCATGTGAACCAGAAAAGAACACAATCAGTCTGTGCATTGTCCTCCAAGTCTGACCCACTAATTTGTATGGTGTGATGTTCCCAGGGGATTTGGGATGGAATATCATTTTTCCCTAGTCTATCCCATGACACACCATTCCATTCCATTCCCATATCCCATGACATAAAGCTTTAGATGTTGCAGTCTGAGGATATGTAAAGGATCTGAATCTTACCTCTTACAGCAAGGGTAAGAATCATAACAGACTCCAATAGTTTTCTTTGTACGGTCACAAATTTTTTGACAAACACCATTGACTTTAAGGCAGGAGAGTCTATTCCTTATTTGTTCTGCTTCACCTAGAAATTGAAGATAAAAGCTGTAATGCAGTTTGAGGAAATGCAGCAAGTCTGAATCTTACCTTCTACAGCAAGCGTAAGGGCCATGACAGACTCCAATATTCTTCTTCTTGCTACTACAATAAGCATCTTTTCTAAAGCAGGTCAAATGCAGATCTAGGATCTCTACACTTTGGGAAATATATGCAAATGCATTTCAGAGGCATAGTGAGAAAAATGTATTTTGTTAGGATAATTCTTTGAAAAACAGACTTTTAGGGAAAAGAAAGACTGTTCAACATTAGGATCTGAATTCATAGGGTCCAAATGTCTGAAAGTTAGTGCTTCATAAGGAAAAGCCTATATCACCTTTACTAATTGTTGTCATCTTGAACGGCAGAAAGAGACTCTTGACTTACCTTTGTCTCCAACGTTCAGAAAGGCAAGGAGAAGAATGAGAAAGCTCCAGGGTTTCATAGTGATGAAGAAGTAGAGGCAGCTTTCTGACACTTCCCTAGTCCAAGAGTCACCAAAATAGGCATAGAAGAAAATAGGTTGCACTCTGTCTTTTATTCAACCTGTCAGGAGATATTCTTAAGTTTAGGAAGGCAGTGAAGTCAGTAAGTACAAAATAGAATGATAGTTGATTGGCTGGTCTTTCTAACTGACTGGGTGGTATTTGGAAGAGATCACAATTCCCTTAAAATGATTAGGTTCCCAGTCTCAGGGTGCTTATGAATGTATTACTGTTGCTCAAAGCAAGAATGGTCAAATAGTCCAGTAATTCTTTCACTAGATAACACTCATAGACCAAGATTGCCTCGTTACAATTCTGCATGGCCATGTCATTTCTAACTTAGGTTATGACAATGCTTCATAGATAGGAGTGCCTTGCAGATAGCCAGCCACTCTCATTCAGCAGCTTCCAGGGTTAGAAACTCAAAGCACTTTTGCTTGCTTGGAAAGCCATAAGTATAACATCCTTTAAAGCACAGCCCTTGTTCATTTCTGATGTTTTTGAGTTTTTACACATTATTAAACTGTTCCTCTGCAAACGAAGACACGTAAGTAAAAGTTAGGGCTGTTTCAAAGGGATTGCAGCATATGCAGGCTGTAGGCAAGGAGGATGTAAAAAAAAGAGAGAGAGAAGAGGTGAGGGGAAGTTAGGTTATGGCTGCCTGCCTTCAGCACTCTGCACATGAAAGGGCACCTCATATTCATCTTGGGCCATAGGCACACCTGTCTATTACTCAATGGGTAAATCAGGCTAAATGTATTTCCCAGGTATTTTTCAATGACTAGTTCCTAATGGCAGGTCCTCTCTCTCCTGCATTAATTCCCCACCCCCTAAATATGAGCATCCTTGCAATTATTCGGACAACTACCTAGCTGCAAAGATGTCAGCCTACTATCTGTTCCTTATAATAAGAGGAGCTTTACTATATACTGGATAAAGTGTTAAAAATGAAGGTAAAAACTAATACAAGGTAATATAAAGTAAGGAAGAAAAAGAAAGGAAAGAAATCAAAGAGAAAGCTAAAGGTGTAAGAAAGAAAGAAAGAAAGAAAGAAAGAAAGAAAGAAAGAAAGAAAGAAAGAAAAGAAAGAAAATAAAGAAAATAAAGAAAAAAGATACAAAGAAGTGGCCTTCTTTACAGCAGTGAAAAAAGATACAAAGAAGTGGCCTTCTTTACAGCAGTGAAAAAAGATACAAAGAAGTGGCCTTCTTTACAGCAGTGAAAGAAAGAAAGAAAGAAAGAAAGAAAGAAAGAAAGAAAGAAAAGAAAGAAAAGAAAGAAAATAAAGAAAATAAAGAAAATAAAGAAAAAAGATACAAAGAAGTGGCCTTCTTTACAGCAGTTTTAAGTACAATTATAAATTTACCTCTTTCTTTAAACTTACATCATGACTCTCTTCTTTCTATAACCAGTCCTGTCTAATCATCAGAACCATAAATCAGAAGTTCATTTTTTCTATTTTACACAAAAAGTCCATAAAGGGTTTCCAGTCAGCAATAAATGTAGATATTGTCTTTTCTCCGATCAAACAAGTCAATTTGGCAAGTTCCATCATCTTCACCAACCATTCCTCCATTGTAGGTATTGCCAAATCTTTCCATCTTTGTGCATACAATAATCTCACTGCAATTATCATATACAAAAACATGACTGTTCCATGACTTTTTTTTCCAACTGTTTGTCCATCAGTCCCAAGAGGAAGACGTCTGGTCTCCATTGTATATTAATCTTTAAAAACCTCTGAATCAGTGCATGTATTTGAATCCAAAATTATCTTTTTTATACATCAAAAAGATAGCATGATAAAATGTCCCTTCTTGTTCACATTTCCAACATAAATTTGAAGTGCCTTTATACATTCTAGACAATTTCTCTGGTGTCATATACCAATGATACATCATTTTATAAAAAATTCTTTTTAAGATTATAATACAATGTAAATTTCAATCCTTTCAACCACATATTTTCCCATTGTTCAATCTGGATATTATAACCAAAATTTGTAGCCCACTTTATCATATATTCTGTCATTTGTTCTTCTTCTGTTTCACATTTCAATAAAAGTTTATAGACTTTAGCAGTTACATGTTCATCATTTGTACATGGTTCTGTTTCAAACTCAGTCTTACAATGTTCTAAACGATCAACTCTTTCATCTACTTTAAATCTTTCTAATAAATGTAGATAAGAAAACCATTGGCAACTATATCCCTCTGCCACCAGTTCTTCTCTAGATTTTATTTTGTATTCCCCTTGACAAAATCCTAATATCTCACAATAAGTTAGCCATTTGTGTCTGCCTATGATTTCTGTAAAAAAATTACATTTCTTGTCTGTAAATGGTTCTTGTGCTGAGACCCCAAAAGGTGTTTCTGGGCACAACTTGGGTTTTAACTATTCCATATTCTTAATATGTCACGTCTAGCATAATGATTTTTTAAATCCACATTAACCTGAACTTTATCGTGTCACAGATACCCACGCCACCAAAATCTGAGGTCATATCCTTCTCCCTCCAAATGCCTTGTATTTCTCAGCAGTACCCACTCTTTCATCCCAACCAAACAGCAAGCTGCAAAATACAATTTCAAATCAAGAAAAACCCAATCCTCCTCTTTTTTTTGCATCTTGTAACACCTTATATTTAACTTGTGTTTTTTCCCCTGCCGCACAAATTTAGATATATCCTTTTGCCACTGTTTAAATGGTGGATCTGCTGTCAAAACAGTATTGTCTGAAACAAAAACATCATTCTAGGCAAGACATTAATTTTTATCACAAAAATTCTCCCCAGCAATGACATTTGTAGTTTCTCTATCTTAACATATCTTTTTAAACTTCATTCCATGTTTTAGCATAGTTATTTTGAAATAACATACAATTCATATTTGCCATGGTGATACCCAGATATTTTACTTTCTTCTTAATCTTAAAACCCTATTTTATTCATCAATTCTGTTTGATCCTCTATTTTCATGTTATTTGTTAACATCTTCATCTTCTTTTTGTTAATCTTAAAACCTGCTAATGTACCAAATGCTTTTAGATTTCCCATTAATATTTCAATTCCCTTTAAAGAATCTTCCAGAACCAACACCAAGTCATCTGCAAAAGCTCTTAACTTATACGTTTCTTCTTTAATCTTTACTCCCACAATCCTCTCATCTTCTCTTATACAGGTAGTCCTTGACTTATGACCACAACTGGGATTGGAATGTCCATCACTAAGTGATGCAGTCATTAAGTGGGGCAGTGGAGTACAGGGTGGCAGGGGCAACTGCGGCTATGAGTAGACTGGAGTGGCTGGGGCTTCCTGGGGTGCTGTGGCTTCGTGCCACACTGCTGGGGTGACTGAGGCTTCCAGAGGTGGCTGCAGCTTCGTGCTGTGCTGCAACTCAGGGGCTTTTTGCAGCCCCAGAGCCACAGCATGCCAGGAAGCCCCTTTGTGCCATACTGCTGGGCTGGGCTGGGCTGGGCTGGGCTGGGCTTTGCGCTGTGCTGCAGCTCAGGAGCTTCTTGGCACACTGAGACTCTGGGGCTGCAAGAAGCCCCTGAGCCACAGTGCAGTGCGAAGCTGCAGCCACCCCTGGAAGCCCCAGCCACCCAACAACAGAGACTACTGTTAAACATCAAGACAATTGACTTATATTTTCCCACAGGATTTTATCTTCTCCCATATGCTTGTCAACATTTATAGGAAAGTGCTCAAGGAGATCATACATGTCTTTGGAGAACTTTGAAGGCACAAACTTCCGGGAGATTTGGATGGAGACTGTGAATATCACACCATGGTTATTATGTACAAACCTTTCTCATTCTCCCCCTTGAAGCTTCAGATGCCCCGTAGAAAGACATGGTATGCTTGTCACTTCACTCCATTCACACTTTTCACATGCTGCAACAAAAGAAAAGGCCAGCCTTCTTTGGTATTTTGCCACAACTAAAATGTGGGCAGAATATTTGTGGATTCAAAAGTAATAAACACAGAAATGAGGTAGAAGCTGAAAGGGCACATTAAGCAAAGCATAGCAAAGAATAACTTCGACTTCAGGGCATAATGTAGGTGGGAAATAGCCCCGGACAAGGCAATAAAGCAGGGCAGAACAACATGCCACACAGGAGTGCAAACACAGGACAAAATCTCATATCCCTTCAGTTGCTGGGAGCCCCTTGTCTTCATCAATGGCAGCAACAGAAGTTCCTCAGATTATGCCAGCTGGGGTATAGCACCTTCCCCTAGTAGGTCCATACCAAAGCTCTTCTCTTAGGGGTGATTTAGAAAAGATACACCTTTCTCTCTTAACTCATCACTTAGTGATCTTTCAGGCACTGGTCCATATGCCATGTACTTTCCATAGATAAGATGTGTACATTGATGAAGAAAGTCCTCCCAATCCTGCCTGTTTCACTTCTTACACAAGATAACTTTGAAATAAACACGTAACACTTTGCTGATCTCTTTGATATGGGTTTTAGAATATAATATGAAATAAATACATAATGCTATTCTGATATCTTATCCAGAAAGCAAGGCATAAGAAATAAAATTCATATTATTCCATCAACTTTTGGTTTGCAGCCTACTGTATATATACTTCTCACCTAAAAAGGAAGAGTTGAGGAAGAGTTATGTTAAGTTGGGGCAGGAGGCAGGAAATCACAGCATGGGCTACATATTGACTGGCTATAGTTTGACTAGGACAAAGAAGAACACTTTTCCCAGACAGCTTCTGGAGATGTTGATTAAATTCAGTCTGACTGCTGCACTCCTCCTAAAGAGAGAGATTTTTAGGCATTCTAAATTGAAATTTGGGATATTTATATTCCTAGAATTGCTTAGGAAGAGGTCTTAGGATACGAAAGAAACACTGAACCTCTCACAGCAATGCCAAGTAGAGATGCAACCAGAATGCAAGCTGGTATAGGCTTGCCATTACAAGCAGACAGAACCCCACAATTCCAGTGTTCAAGAACACACCTATGTCATGTGACTATTGCTAATCAGGACCTCTTTGTGTTTTACATTTGGACACAAATTGTATTATGATTAATCATCTAAGTATTTCCTTCTAAGACTTTCAGACATGAAGCACACATCGCTCACTTGTAGAGTTTTTATTAGAAGTACTTGAAAGGAATACAAGCAGCAAAGATGTTCTGTTTTTTCTCAGTCCCACCATGCAGATCAGGTAAGGTGAAGAAGGCAGTTTTTCAGGCTTTCATGTGAACCCTAATGGTTGGCAGATTCTCCATTACTA